TCCATCACCATGCTGGCACTGTGGCGCGTGGCACTTTGTAAAGTCTTGTCCGTACAAGAATCATCGTTGCAGCAAGTGCAACATCGTCAGTCAAAAAAATGGTTTTTTTCAGCCACGCCAACTCATATATCGAAATACAGCAAAAGCTCGACAAACTGTTGGTCTTAAATCTCCAAAAGGTCATTGAGTCTACGCGCAACCTGTCAAGTCACAACACCAGGTATGCGGAAATATCTTGATCTTCAGATGAACGGTCATGATGCACGTCTGCAGCTAGATACCGCCTCTGATATTACTGTTATATCAAAGAAACTTTGGAATAATATTGGCAGACCACCTATCACCAATACTTCCCAGTCTCTTGTCAGCGCCTGTGGTGGGCAGCTCAAACTTATTGGTGAACTCAAATGTTCTGTTTCCTTCCGCAATACCAAATTCACAGGAATTTGCTACGTCACCAAGAGTGATTTAAATCTTTTGGGACTTGATTGGTTCGATCGTTTGCATCTGGCTGATGTCCCACTAAATTCGCTATGCAATGCAGTCAAGAAGCATAAAATGTCAGACAATTCCGGACGAAGCCGAAGCCGCAAACTCAACAGGCAGACGAAACGACAGACGTCAACAACAAGCTCAAAGGTTCCAGATAAACCCCCAGGTAAACATCCTACTAATCATCAATCTTCTCAAAAGGGGAGGTGATATGTATCCACATATATATATATTATGTGTGTGTGTGTATCTTGGTCTCTCTTTCCGTTTGCTCGCTTAGTCTGTGACCATTTCACTTTGATGAACCTGTCTCCTTCAAGAATGTATATTCTCCTTATATGATATATAATATAATATGAGTGTTTGTTGACAGTCCGTTGCTTGGTGACATATATCCATATATGGTGGTTGTTGACATGTCTGCTATATTTTGATATATATATATATATATATTTCGTTCTCACAAGTTGTGTGACTTACATTTACACTTACCACTTTGGTGTGATACCACTTATTGCTTCTCCTTGTGTTTGGAAATAGAAGTATCATCGCAAACCTAGTGGTCTTCTGATTTCCGCCTTCTTGCGTCAGGACTATTAAATTCTCGACCAGTACATAACAATAATTTAGCGACGAGTACATAACAATTTGGCGACGGGGAAAACTACTATTAACCACTCAGCAGCAGCAACATAACAATTTACTATGCATCCTTCTAAATTGGAATTATTGTTTGAACGACAAATGAAATTAATGGAAATGTTCGTCAACCAACAGACTGGTCCAGCTTCACCTTCAAGCAATCTGAACCATACCATGCCACCATCTGTCGACGGCATTGCGAACAGTATTTCACAGTTCAATTATGACCCAGAGGCTAATGTCACTTTTGACACATGGTATCAACGTTATGAGGACTTATTCACTGTTGATCTCGCCTCACAAGACGATGCTTGGAAGGTGCGAGTGTTGTTACGTAAATTGGGTCCGGCAGAATATGAACGGTACTGCAACCTAATTTTACCCCAGAAACCACGTGACAAGTGTTTCGATGATACAATAAAGCTGCTGCGTGAACATTTTGGAGACCACTCCTCATTATTCAGCATACGTTATCGTTGCCTCAAGCTGACAATGAATGAAAATGATGATTTTCTTACTCACGTTGGCACAGTCAACCGAGAATGTGAGAGATTTCGACTCAGGTCCTTAACAGATGATCAGTTCAAAGCCTTGATTCTCATATGCAGTCTTCAATCTCCTCGTTTCACAGATATCCGAACTCGACTGCTCAATCAGCTAGAACAAAATCCTAAGTTAACATTACATGACATAGCTGATGAATATCAACGGCTGATTAATTTGCAGAGAGACACACACCTGGTCGAATCAACACCTTCGAGAAACTCTGATATTCATGCATTACGAAAGAGCAAAAATCTCTCATCATCTACTCCTGACCCACCTAATTCTTCTAATGTTTCGCGGAAATCTACACATACTCGTCCAACTTCACAAAATACTGCAAAGAAGACCCCTCCATCACCATGCTGGCACTGTGGCGCGTGGCACTTTGTAAAGTCTTGTCCGTACAAGAATCATCGTTGCAGCAAGTGCAACATCGTCAGTCAAAAAAATGGTTTTTTTCAGCCACGCCAACTCATATATCGAAATACAGCAAAAGCTCGACAAACTGTTGGTCTTAAATCTCCAAAAAGGTCATTGAGTCTACGCGCAACCTGTCAAGTCACAACACCAGGTATGCGGAAATATCTTGATCTTCAGATGAACGGTCATGATGCACGTCTGCAGCTAGATACCGCCTCTGATATTACTGTTATATCAAAGAAACTTTGGAATAATATTGGCAGACCACCTATCACCAATACTTCCCAGTCTCTTGTCAGCGCCTGTGGTGGGCAGCTCAAACTTATTGGTGAACTCAAATGTTCTGTTTCCTTCCGCAATACCAAATTCACAGGAATTTGCTACGTCACCAAGAGTGATTTAAATCTTTTGGGACTTGATTGGTTCGATCGTTTGCATCTGGCTGATGTCCCACTAAATTCGCTATGCAATGCAGTCAAGAAGCATAAAATGTCAGACAATTCCGGACGAAGCCGAAGCCGCAAACTCAACAGGCAGACGAAACGACAGACGTCAACAACAAGCTCAAAGGTTCCAGATAAACCCCCAGGTAAACATCCTACTAATCATCAATCTTCTCAAAAGGGGAGGTGATATGTATCCACATATATATATATATTTATGTATGTGTGTGTGTATCTTGGTCTCTCTTTCCGTTTGCTCGCTTAGTCTGTGACCATTTCACTTTGATGAACCTGTCTCCTTCAAGAATGTATATTCTCCTTATATGATATATAATATATTGTTGACAGTCCGTTGCTTGGTGACATATATCCATATATGGTGGTTGTTGACATGTCTGCTATATTTTGATATATATATATATTTCGTTCTCACAAGTTGTGTGACTTACATTTACACTTACCACTTTGGTGTGATACCACTTATTGCTTCTCCTTGTGTTTGGAAATAGAAGTATCATCGCAAACCTAGTGGTCTTCTGATTTCCGCCTTCTTGCGTCAGGACTATTAAATTCTCGACCAGTACATAACAATAATTTAGCGACGAGTACATATTAGTATAAGAGTAAATGTCATAACAACGTATCATTTTGTAACTCCTGATAGTTTTCTATCTTCCTCTAAACAGCGAACGATGAGACGATGACTGCTCGATTGACGAAAAATTTGGAGGAGTTAGGTTCGAACAAACAACCATGAATTCATCGTTCATTATTCAACTACATTGGTAGCAATTATTTTAAAATTCTTTCCGTAGACATACTTAATAACGACTTCAGCGAAGGGAATTAATGTTGGTACCATCTGTTTTGCGAAAGCTTTTTTTTCGGTCTATTCAAAAACACATTTACAGAAGATATGCGGGAAGGATCTAAATAACAATTGGAACGATGGCGTGCTTTTTTGTAATATCTAAGCTTAACCATGTTGGATAAACTACAGAATTTATAGTGTTTTCTATGAAAATGTAGTTTTGCTAGAATAAGTCGTTTTCTCCTGCGCAGTCAGTCTATAAGGGATCAAGGAATACAAATGATAGGAGTAAGTGTCGACTTCGTAAAGCCTTCAGACAGATAAGATATATCTGAATATATTGGTGCTGAAGTGAAAATCCCTAAGGAATATGTAAACGATAGCCCGGTCATAAGTATGATCCAGAATTCCGAAAAAGAGTGGCGTGCTGGCTTATAGAAGTCTTACGAATCTAGGTGAGGCCCACGAAATTGTACACTGAGAATGCTACAGGCAGAAGCATTGTGCGCTATTTAGATCTAGATAATCGTTGTTGTTTAGTAATATGAAGATCTAGACCCATGACGGGATTTGAAGTTGTCAAAATGTATGCTGCCGTCCTACGGAATGAGGCGATTCATATTTGTGGTCGCTGTCATAACTGGTGATCAGCATGCACCACTCTCTCTCCTTTTATGATGTTAAGTTCTGTTCTGTTAAGTTCAGGCATCCATGCCATTCGGCACGCTTTGTGTTATGTTCGGCTATTCATGCGCGACCACCGTCAAGTTGAGCAATCCTCCTCACACTTCGGTTTGAGTCCCAAAATATGTTTCATATCCTGGACGATCTATTCGGTGTTTTGATTTTCCCTTGGTCTACTCGGGACAAATACTATGGGGGTTGTTTGCATAAAATCTTCCACTAGTTTGCATCATGCCATCTGTGAACGTCAACACGCCCTTATCCCCTAAGAAGATTACTTCGAGGTTTCCTCTGTCGTAGAACACACTACGCGTTAATAGCTTTCTAATAGGTCATAAGACACTGAGATAAGTTGTGGCATAATTGGCATTATTTTCCTTATGAATACACATATGTATATAAACAGGTTGTTGCAGAGTGCCAGGGAGTTACATTCTCTCCCGTCTTACTCTCCTGACAACTTATTAATATAATAATTATTATTACTATTATTATTACCGACATATATATATATATTATTCTTCAAACTTAATCAGCTGACTATTGTTACGCTTTCCTCCTTCCGTTTCTGTCTCTTAGTCTGAATAACTTCACTAATTATATATGTTATTAGCATTATTATTATTACTATCTCTTTTCTCTTGTCTACGATACCGGAGGACTAACTGGCGAAAGGATCAACTCCAATCACAGTAGTAACAGTCTTAACACACCTCATACTACAAACCACATATAATTAATCCCAGCACTACTCCCTTTGGAGTCAACCAGAGCTACGACAGTCGAGTGGCGTGACAAGCTACCCAGAAGTTTACCGAAGATCAGGAACCTATACCTTACAATCAAGAAGCGAGCACAAAGAAATCAAATTGGTTTATACTAGCTCGTAGAAACGATACTGGATCTAAGTAAATTGATTAAGTTGAAGGTGCCTAATCTTGTTCCTTCCGGTTGTTTGTGGACGACTAAGAGGTCAACATACAAGAGACTTACATCTCCCGTGAATCGCTATGATTGTATATGTATATATTCATCACAACTACACTCTTCAACCCAATGGAAGCTAGTTCTTTAACAAAGATTTCGATTAATTGCTATAGGTCATTCCACTGAACTATGAGCGTAGTATCTACTAAATGCATTTTCCAGTGTTCACTCAGAGATTAACTATACCGCGGATGAAAAACCAGTATTGAATTTATCATTTGCACAATAAGTAATTCTCTCAAGAAATAACCGCTGTTTATGAACGTGAACGGAGTCAGCTGTTTACGCGCTCTTTGCATCCAAAGTCATGTAGTTCATGGGTATGTTGGAAACAAAAGTGCTGTTTTACCATTACAAGTGAGTTTTTAAATATTATGCTAATGTTTTAAAGCTCTTAGGGATAGAAGTTGACTTTATCAACTCAGTTCAGTTATCGAACCACACAGGTAGGTTCATTTTCACCTGCTTGATGATACAATTATATTGTAAATAGGGTACGAAAATGTCAGGGGCCAAGTTTTAGATGCTAATGATTTGAAAGAATTGTACCTGGGATTAAAAACAAATGGTCTTCACAGATATACTCATGTCCTCACAGGTATGAAAATTATACTCACTTTTAACTTTTCAGGATACGTTGGCTCACCGAGTTTTTTGGAAGGCGTAGCATACATTGTATCTGATTTAAAAAACGAAAACCCAGGCTTAAAATTTTGTAAGTGAGAAAATTTTTGGTAATGTTTATTCATTAGATTGCGATCCTGTTCTAGGTGATCGGGGAAAACTTGTGAGTTTTTCTTACTGGTCATTTTAATTAAACATTTCTGAAATCATTGAGCTCTGTTTTAAAATCTTTACACTGGAGAGACTGTATACTCTGAATTATTTTCTTAAGAAGCAACGTCGCCAAAGCCTACGCAACTTTACACTTTATGCATAGGCAGCTGGGAGCTCTTACTCCCGAACTGTTCTTAAGGTTATATGTGAGGCCACACCTTGAGGTGCATAATATCATTGTTCCTCCGCTACTCAAAAGAGATGCTAACATTCTAGAAAGTGTCCAGAGACAAGCGACAAAATGGGTGATCGGCCTCCGCAACAAATCATACGAGGAAAGACTAAAGAAATTAGGTCTTTTCACACTTAGTTACCGTAGGCACAGGGGAGATCTCATCACCGTCTACCAGATCTTAAATGACCAGGCCCACCCAAATAAAAGCATCCTGCCATTAAGTGATTATAGGCTTCCACGAGGTAACCCGCTAAGGATAGCACACCAGAGACCAAAGACTCGAGTGCGATCACATTTCTTTTCTCTTCGAGTTTGCCGTTTCTGGAACGCTTTACCGGTGGCTGTGACTACAGCGCCATCTGTGGAGATTTTTAGGCGGAAGCTGGACAATCATGCAGAAATGCAAGGTTTGTGTCTCAATGGCTTATCCTCATAAAACTTGAAACCACACTGTCAATGGATCAGCGTACAAACTAAATCCCCACGACCTATTCTGCCTTCTCTCACTCTATCTTTTCCTTAGGTCACCTTTATTATTCCACTTATCTCAACCCATATTATCTACACTACAACCTATTATTATTATTATTATGCTTTCATGACTACACCGAATGACCAACGGGAGTTAGGTCAAACTCCATTCACGGCAGCAACACAGTCTTAACATACTGCATACTACAAACCACATCTTGACCAATCCCCGCACCACTCCTCTTGGAGTCTACCAGAGCTAAAGCAGTCGAGTGGCGGGACTTACTACGCAGAAGCTCACCGAAGATCTGGAACCTCTACCTCACAATCAAGAAGCGAGCTCGAAGAAATCACTGGTTTATACTAGCTCGTAATCAGGATATTGGATATTGGATAGAAACAGCTGTTGACGTTTCAAAGTAAATGTCAGTGTTTTCACGGTAATATCGAAGCGGATTACAAATTGTGGCTATGCATCATTACCGGAATTTCAAATAAACTGATGCATCCAAGTTACACTTGTGTTTCTTTTAAAGTCACTGGAGTAACAAGTATAAATTGTGTGTATGTTTTAGACTTACAATTTACTCGCATTATTCAGGCAGAATTCACACGTGATAATAACTGATAATCCCTTAGGTTCTGTGTTTTTGATAATTCTGGTGTTCTCTACCACTGGCAAAATTTAAATATACAGGTTTAAAAGGTTTTTACTGGGCGCCTGCTATGAAGACTTTTGTCTCTGTGTATCATTTATTAAAAATCCTTTCAACTTTGCGTAGAATTCTCACCAAATATGACAGTCTAAGCCTGATTGTCTTTTTTTTATTACAAGTTATAGGTTCACTTTAAAAGACTTTGCTATATATATGCGAGATCATACATAACAATCTGTAACCAAATAGTCGGTAAGCTTTTCATTATCGATCTGGGTAATGGTTCCAGCACTGCCTATCCTTCTGAACCTAACAGTGAGTAGCACCAATAGGTCACTCATGTTCATCCGCTGGAAAATGGCTGTAGTAATGAGAATAAATAAGTCCTTATTTGGCAGTAGTGTAATCAGGAGTATCCCACACTAGCAAATTTCAGTGTGTAGGGTAGGCATGTTTCTTTCCACACTTATTTTATTTCTGTTTACTTTTTGCACATTGTCTCTTCCTAATTACTCACTCAATGCTTTTAATACCCCCATAGTATGTTCCACCGGAGCTCATCGACATCTATCGGGAAAGAATACTTCCATTAGCAGATGTTCTTTTACCAAATCAATTTGAAGCAGAGTAAGTATTTGATCTCTTGTTTTCCTTACGTAATAACTGATTGGTTGTAGTTGGTAGCCCATGATGTGTTTAAGTCTATAAAGTTATTCGCGGTGTATTAAGAAGAAGAAAATTCTATATATATATATATATATATATATATATATATATATATATATATATATATACTTAGCCATTTAGGTATGGCTAAGTTAAACTTTAGGCACCACTACCTACCAATGGAATGCGACCGCATCAATAACCTTGAAAAACTCACTGAGCAGATTAGTGAAACCTGGCAAATGATGTTGTTATCAACAATAAAATATGCTCATAGAAGTGTTATGCCATTAAATGGGATATCAGGCAAGTTACAGCTTGGAAAAGATTAAGTTACGCTTTAATCCAAGGGCGAGTTAGAGTTAGGTTAACCTAATAAAGCCAACATTAGGGTTGGTTCGAGTTAGATTACAGTTAGTTTAGGGATATATTTTCACGTTAGGGTTAGGTTCCTGAAAGATTAGGATTATTGTTAGCGTAAGAAGACCTAAATAATTACATGCATAGAATGTGGTTAAATCACTCTGCTGATATATCTATAAGAATAGAACATGTGTACTGTGGTAGAGTATAATTCCATTGTGGGTAAAATTTATTTTGATAAAGTCTCATAGTGTTATACAGTAATGTTCACTGAGCAATACATTGTGCTCGAGACGTCACCAGTAAATATTACTGTATAACACTGAAACTTTATCAAAATAAATTTTACCCACAATGCAGATGTTTTTATTACCATATGTGAAAGGAAGGTATCCTCTGTAACACTTTCCTACAATTTTTATGCATTATTTCATAAATATATGTATGTATTCCATACACAAAAATGTCTCCTTGAAGTGATTGGTGCGTTCGGGGTCATTCGCTGATTGGTAGTTAGTGGTGCTTAAAGTTTAACTTTGCCACCTAAATATACCCATACATTTTTATTACCAAGTATGCGTCATTGTAATATCGATAAACGACCTGGTACGACTGAGGGTTAGAAAACTTCAGTCTTCCTCTCAAAATGCCCTCATGTTGCCATGCTGTCATAGCCTCTGCCAGATAATTTCCATACACTGCCTTCACTTGTCGAGCAGAGATGTTTCTCACAAAAGTCAAAGCCATAATTTAGTTATTATAGGACTAGATTATGCAATACATACATCTAACTTGAGGTAACGTCATAGGTGCAGTTACTGCCTTACATCTCAAGGAAGCGCTTTATTTATCTATGCGCAAGTGAGTGCACCGTAACCATTGGTGTCAAATGCTTGCAAAAAAATAACTCAAATAATGAATATATATATATATATTATATTACATCACATCCCGGCATCGGTGGTTCACCGGTAGATTGCTCGCCAACCGCACACAATGTCTAGGACACGATTCCCGGCCGATACACTCCTCAACTCCTCTCTAGGCTGATATTAAGCCTGGTAAAGAGGGAAGGTTGGGTGGGAGGTTAGCAACTCTAAGCTGTGAACAAAAAAGACACCACTGCTACTGAAATTTCACACTTGAAGGTCTATCTATGTTTCACTGGGAACTCAAAGAAATGAGAAAAAGTAGTCCAGCGTCATTATGCGTCTGCATATTAAAAGTGTTAGCGAACTGTTGACTGCTAATCAGACAATAACACAAGCCGTCGAGTATCAAACTTGACTCTCATATTCTGAGACTTGCACATGTTCGAGAATAGTAACTTACATTATCTGAATTACCGTATATATATATATAAATTTCTAAATACTTGAGGTAAATTGGAAACTTTCAGTAGTACAGAGTGTCCCAAATCCTTATCAACCTTATTCAAAGGTTATATAGTGATGATATTTACCGAACTCTCCATAGTAGGAAAGCTCAATGAAGACGGGAGTAGGACAAAGTTACCTACTCTCACGGACGATATTCGTGATTGTAGTGGACTGGATCACTTGGCACACCTTGGGGAGCGAGTTGACAGGAATATGCTGATCCGAGGAAGAGACTCTAGCAGGTCTGGACTTTGCCGAAGATTTATATCTAATGTCACATAAACTCGGAGATCTGCAAGCGAAGACCAACGGGACAGCAGAAAAGACTGGACTTAAAGTTAACATAGAGACGATAGAGGTGATAAAGATGCCTAATCATCAACGACAAAGACAACAGGCATCAATCACCATAATTTAAAAGAAATTTTAGGGAAATCATCTCTTTCACTTATCTAGTTGGGTGGCACCGGTTTAACTACAGTTGGTGGTGGCACGGATGTGTATATCAAAGGCACAATCAGAAAACTGTAAAAGAGACCTTCATTGATCTGAGATCAGCTTTTGGAAATCTGCTGCACTCAGCTTAAACAACAATATTCCGATTTTCAAATTTAACATCGAATCATTTGTTGTATGTATGGTTCCGAGACGGCGCATCATCAAGACGCTCCCAACAGGTGACTGTCGACTTTTATCAACACATATCTTCCCTTTATACTGAAGATCAGATGGCCACTCAGAAAGAATTATCAACAAGGTACTCTGTCAGACGACGAACCAACCAATATGTTGGGGAAAATGCTGGTGGGTTGAGCACATTTTAAGGAGACTGTTGAATGACACTGCGTGTTAGTGAAAACCCTCAAATGGAACCCGAATGGGATAATAAGGTGAGCAATATTTAGGTTAGGCATCAGTCGAGTGCTAGGTAAGGAGGGGAAATAAATCGACGAGGCTGTGAAATTACATCGAGTGAGATGGTTAGGACATGTGTTACGCATGTCTCGCCTAGTCATCTCCTTCCTCGACTAACGAGCAATGTTGGCTGACATAGGGTCAGGCTGGAAAACAGCTAATCAGAGGCGGTCAAACCAAAACATGGTTTCACCAGTCAATGAAATCCACAACAGTTAGTCTAAGGCACGTAGAAAGGTGTAGACTCCCTGACTGTTTGGGAACTTCGGGACGATAAAAACCAATGGCTGCAGACAATTGGTGGTATGGCTGAAACTCATCGTCCTCAATGGCTGGTGCAGATGCATCCACTCCTTGTGACTTTTGATTTCCAATGAGACTCTATCGTTCTTCGTTATCACTATTACTTTGTCTCACACCTCTGTTTACTGTCCCTATGATGCATTTCTTCTGCTTTCTTCTCTCTAAGGATAAATCATTGAGTCACCTAAAATGTACTGTAAAGAACAGACTGAAGTGAAGATGTACTTGTTTTTTTCCTTCACATTCGCCAGTGGAACATAAGGCCTCAAGCTAGTGGCTTAAAGTTTCTGTAGCAGTGTTTATTTTTACAGGATGGGGTTGCTAGCCACCTCATGCCCAACCTTTCCTCTTTACCAGCATTATTCCTGGCTAATCAAGGTAAAGGAGTGCCCTGTCGACTGGGGAGATCGAACTTCGGACCATGTGCATGGTCGGCGAGCGTCCTAACCGCTTTGCAACCGACGCGCACCGAAAGGGGTTCGAACCCAGGTTATTGCTGGTTACAAGGTGAGCTCGTATAAGATAAAGCCACTGAGACCCTGGTGGGCATCGATCCCAGGCGCCTTATGTTCCACCCGTAATCTAAGGGGATGATAATAATAACAGTACGGAGTTCTAAATATAAGTATATCCTACTATGTCCACAAACAAGTGATATTAATTTCCTCATCTCATGTTCTTCTTTTTGTTTTCACTGTGCTTTTTCTTTTCTCTCTCAAAAGGTTACTTAGTGGTATGCAAATTACAGATGAACAATCAGCGTTAAATTGTATTGCACATTTACATAAACAATATAATATTCCTACTGTAGTTATATCGAGTACAAATTTAACAAAATTCCCTCAAGTAATGTATGGTTATGGAAGTCGTTTAAAAAGCTCAGTCAACACTCCAAATGATAATAATCACACCAGTAATACTAATAATAATCTATCCGATCAAACAAATGGTTCACATGTATGCATCAATCAAGGTAACTGTGATATTAGCTCACTTTTTTTTAAATGTGAGACGTGATTTTTCTTTCTTTCTCACTTATAATAAGGTTAAACGTTTTTTTTGTATGGAGGATTTAATCATGAGCTGACATCAGTTAGAGAACCACTAGAAAACCTGGGAGTACTGGACGTTTTTAATATAAAAGTGTGTTCAAATCACGTCCGATGGCTTAATGCTTTTTATTAGAAATAAATCGTAACTTAGACATTGTGTGAACAATCTTCATTAGTATTTTGGTGGTAATCTGTATGTTGTGTATGTCGTGTAAGGGCTTATGGGGAATTGTCATCTGAATTGGTAGCGACCAGTGGTGTCCGACAGGGATGTCCACTTTCCCCATTTCTGTTTAACTTCATCATAGATATGCTAATGGAAGTATCCTTAACTGAACGTAGTGACTTAGGAATCGACTTGTTACCAGGGAATAATCTTATGGACTTAGAATATGCAGATGACATAGTCCTGTTAGGGGAGGATGCTGACAAAATGCAGAGTTTTCTGAACACCTTGAGCAGCAATCTCCGTATGTTTGGCATGCGATTCGCCCCTACAAAATGTAAGATGCTGCTACAGGACTGGACCACGTCAACCCCTAACTTAGTGATATGGAGTGAAGTGAGAACATGTTGACCACTTCACCTACTTGGGAAGTTGTATTAGCACCAACGGACTGATTGGCGATGAAATCTCAGCACGGATCCGAAAAGCTCGAGCTGCTTTCGCTGATTTACACCATCTCTGGCGTAGGCGTGACATCCAGTTATCAACCAAGGGACGTGTATACTGCTCAGCAGTTCGCTCCGTCCTTCTCTATGGCTCTGAAACATGGCCAATACGCGTTGAAGACATGAAAAGGTTGACTGCTTTCGATCATAGATGTCTGCGATCTCTGTCTCACGTTAGGTGGTTTCACAAGGTAAGTAATGCTGACGTTAGGCGTAGGGTGTTGGGTAAAGAGGGAAAATCAATCGACGAGGCTATAAAGTTACATAGACTGAGATGGCTAGGTCACGTGCTGTGCATGCCTAACCATCGCCTCCCCCGACGGGCATTACTAGCTGATATAGGTGCAGGTTGGAAAAGAGCCAGTGGTGGCCAAACAAAAACATGGCCTCATCAATCCATGAAATCCTTGACAGTTAAACTTAGTCAGGTAGGGAGATGCAGACTCCCGGGTTAGGGCTCTCGGGACTCTAGGAATCAATGGCTGGAGACAATAGGTGTGACATGGTTCAAAATCGTTGTCAATGGCTAGCGCAGATGTATTCAGCCTCTGTAATCTTTCATATTCCTTTCTACCATTACCCATTCTGTTTCACTCTTATATTTGTCAAACTCTATTGATTCTCTTCACTCATCTTCTTGTCTACCCCTGTGTGCTATTTTGGAACGTGGCAACTCGAACTGCTGCACTTCGGTGCCAAGTTCTATGTTGAATCCAGACAGACAGACAATCTGATGTTGGCTTGAGCTGCAATCTACGAATGTTTGGCATGCGAGCGATTCGATCCCGCCAAATGCAAGATGATGACACAGGACTGGACTACACCGACTCCTAGATTAGAAATAGGGAGTAAAGTGGTAGAGCACGTTGTCCGCTTCACTTATTTGGGAAGTACCATCAGCCAATGCCAACGAGTTGATCTCTGACGAAATCTCAGCTGAGTACGGATACAGAGGGCTAGTTTCGCATATGCCAGTTTACACCGTCTCTGGCGTAGACGAGATATCCGACTATCGACCAAAGGGCGGGTGTACTGCTCATCAGTCCGCCCCGTCCTCCTTTATGGCTAGGTGTGAGACCTGGCCATTGAGAGTGGAAGACATGAAAAGACCAGCTAGCTGTCTTTGATCATAGATGCCTGCGTTCTATCTCCCGTGTGAAGTGGTATAATAAGGTGAGCAATATTGAGATTAGGCTTCGGTCGAGTTCTAGGTAAGGAGGGGAAATAAATCGACGAGGCTGTGAAATTACATCGACTGAGATGGTTAGCTGGAAAAGAGCTAGCGGCGGTCAAACCAAAACATGGAACCAGTCAATGGAATCCACAACAGTTAGTTTAATCCAGCTAGCCACGTAGGGAGGTGTAGACTTCTTGACTGGTTGGGGTCCTCGGGACGGTAAAAACCAATGACAGCTGGAAACAATTGGTGATATGGCTCAAAATTGTTCTCAATGTCTGGCGCAGATGCATTCACTCCTTGTGACTTTTGATTTTCAATGAAACTCTATTGTTCCTCGTTATTACTATTCCTTTGTCTCACACCTCTGTTTACTGTCTCTATTATGCATTTCTTCTACTTTCTTCTGTTGCTTTGTGTGGTACATGGAGGGAGTGTGGCGACTTGAACTGCTGCACATCGGTGCAAAGTTCTATATTGAATACAGACAGACAGACTTTATTCCAAACAATAGTAATTTTTATACAAAATGGAATTTTCAGCATTTCTATGCATATTGCAACAGTCTAGCTTCTTTTATAAATATGTACATACATAAAATTTAAAATAATGATAATAATAGTATTAATAATGAAACCGCCACTATAAACAGAATGTTGGTGAAAACATAATGAAGTATACGTAGATAGTATCATAGATAATACGTGTGATAATAAGAATAACGTTTGCTTCTAATTTGCAGTTCAGATGACTGATTTAAAAAGTTTATTTATAAGTTCTTTTCTGATATGTGATTCTCTCTACATACACACACACACATACACACAACTACCCGTGATAAGTAATCTGGTGTTATGGTAGAATTTTTATATTTAATAGCTGTACGAGCATAAATCCTTCTTATGCGGTTTCTTCGGGTTTCATCCCCGAAGGTATACAGGTAGAAAGTTGAGAATAAGTAGAGAAGATGTTCAGTGGTATCAGACAAGATAACTTCAGCCGAAGGTTCGCAAGAACTGAAGTGACTATTGACAATAATGTCAGTTAGCTAAGTCAAAAGCACACAACTGAACCTACTTACAGCCATTTTAGTGTTCTACTTAATATGACATAGTCTTTTTTGAAAAGTCCAGGGAAGAATAAGGGTGAATAGTGAAGGAGAGTGACCAGAATACATTAATAAATTGTAAGAGAAGCAGTTGAGTTATGCTATCAGAAAGACTCAACTATTTTATAACTCCATTGTGGATAAAATTTTTATTTCGATAAAGTCACATAGTATTTATTATACAGTAGTATTTACTGATGACCATGCTTCGAGCACAATTTATTACTACTGCTCATAATCATATCAAGACACTACTCACTCACACAACTTTCTTGCACCACTTATATACATGAGTAAGCATTGATGATTAGACATTTGAATAAAATCAGTATAAGATAAAGCACATTCACAGATAATAATATTAGTGTTATCAATCAAATACAATCACTCACCCACTCTACTCGCAGCTCCAATCTTGTGTCTCCTCAGGTAAAACAAGAAGTCTTTTTAGAAGAATTTATGCACGTGCGTCTAAGTATAAAAATTCCACTATACCATATTTGGCCGAACGTACTTTATGTAATGAAAATGGTGTCAGGCATGAACTAACTAACCTTCTTTGCACTACTAAATGAACCATTTCCTCCCCACCCTTACAACATCAAACTTTATTGTTATTGTATTTCTTATATTTATAATCCTATCAATTTTTTTGTTTTTATTTATTGATTTTTCATAAGTGTCAACATCGTTTAAGCTGTGTTACCACTGTTAATCTTGTATTTCCCCTCACTATACTACATCAACAGAACATTAGATTCAATACTCTATAGTAACATGCTAAAATTTTCAAACTGAGTCGACTATACTGTTTGAAACAAACTCATTGTTATTATTATTATTATTATTAATATTTAATGATCTCAATTCGTGCTTAGAATATTTTTGACTTTATGTCATAAGCGTGGACAAATTCCTCTGGTTACTTTTGTTTTAATTTTATTTATATTTTAAGTAAGTCAGATGCAATATTGTGACAAATGCTGAGAATTCCATTCTGTATTATAGGTAGTACTGTTTTTGGAATAAAGTAAATCATTATTATTATTATTATTATCAGATGGGAAATAAGATGTTTTGATAGTCAAAATAAGTAACTTGTTAGAATGTTATGATATAAATTGAATACATTTTAACATTATTTATTATCCTCCTCTGATTTAACTGGTGACAACAATATCTTCCCTATCTGTGGTATTTGTTTCGAGTCACTTCTGTTGCATGTGCATGGGTGTAGACTCGATGAACCAGGAATCATCCACCTGCCCATATTACTTTTTAGAATGTTGACTCTACCCCACCTATTAAATTGTGTGGTTGTGTGTTAATGCATGCAGTGTTATTGCTGAACTATTTTCTAAGTTACTTATCTTCTTAGAGAACCACTGAAAACCAGGGAGTACAGGACAGCTGTTTCATTCCCCTAGTTTGGGAATCATTGGCAGTAAGCTTTCACTGCATCGGGGTTCTAACCCAGGACCTTCCGGTTACAAGGCAAGCTGGCTCGTATACCATTCAGCCACTGGGGCCCGATTCAATGGCTTATGAATTCTAACTTCTACCAATTCGTGATTTAGCGCGACCCCAACCATTGTCGTAGGTGGGATATCCATCCATACACGTGACATCTAATTGGACCTCACTGGTCACGACTTCTCATTAAATTTAGTAGAAGTTGGAATTCATGAGCCATTAAGTCCAGTCCCAGTGGCTGAATGGTAAACGAGGTTGCCTTGTAACCGGAAGGTCCTGAGTTCAAATCCCAGTGGGTGCATACTGCCGATGATTCCCAAACCAAGATGAAACAGCAGCTGTCCAGAACTTACTGGTGTTGAATGGTTCTCTAACTGATATCATTCCGTGATCAACTCGTAAAACATAACTAACCCTTACAAACCAAACTATTGAAAATTACTTATCTTTGTTGGATCAATCATGCTAAGCTTAACTAAATTCTTATGTTCTGATAATCTCACTACTCCTGATCTACTGGTTTGACTGACCAATGTAGTTGACTTAACTCGCAGTCATTGCAAAGTATTTTGTAAATTATATTATTTTGTTTAATTGGATCAACCTACAGAGTCCTTTAGCCCCACATATATATTTATGAAGGGTTAATCTTTCATTTCCATGTCGTTGTTTCTTTTTACTGCATAGAATATGATCGTGTACGATTAAGAATTCCAATAGTGAATTGTCATTTCACTGGTACTGGTGATTTATTTGCTGCTTTAACTTTGGCTCGATTAGAACCACGAATTGTGAACGAGAATGGTGAGAAAGTGGCTAAATACTCTTTCAAGGTAAATGGAAAAAAATACTGTTGTTTGACGTCATTGCCTTTTCTTTGTATAACAATTTCTAACTATAATTGCCAGTTTTGAGTAGTGCTAGTACATGAGCTGTATTCGAAATTCAATAGAAGTTCTAGAACAATATTTTTATTCAAGTGTTGGTTTTCAGGGGTCGATTGATTGGTTTTACGACTTCACCATCAGCTCACGTCGGTTAAAGAACCATTGGAAGACCTGAGAGTACTAGACTCAGCTGTTTCGCCCTAGCCTGCTACCGTTCAGTAGTACGCACCCATCTCGGGTACATGCCCAGGCGTTTCCAGTTACAAGGCGAGCTCGTGGACCATGCAGCCATTGGCACTCAAAAACTTTCCCTTATTCAAGTGTCGGTTTGCAGGGATTTCATCATGGGTTGACATTGGGTAAAACCATGTGGGAGTAACAGGCACAGTAGTTTCATCCCCCTAGTTTTGGACTCTTCAAAAGTTCGCACTTACATCATGGGGTTCGAACCGACCACCTTTCGGGTTACAAGGCGAGCCAGCTTGTATACCATTTTGCCGCTGGGTCCCGATCCAATGGTTAGCCCATGCCAATTCACGACATAGCGCGACCGCTAGTCAATGTCTTCCGCGATTATTTGGCACCACACTCGACTTGTTGTACCCCACTGGTCACGACTTCCCACCACAATGCAGATAAATACCTACTTGAATACGGTCAGTCGCTGGTGAGCATCAGGCCAACATTCAGCTGTCGGTCTGCACGGATTTGATTAGTTGCAGGATTTATTCATCAGAATATATATATATATATATATATATATATATATATATATATATGTATAGTTTTTGCGAGGGCTGAAATACTACCCGAATGCTCGTATTGAAGCAGGTGGTTGTCTTAAAGACCCACCCGTCCCAAGGAGCTTTTGATTTGAAAACTGATCTACAAAGCAGTGGGACAGCATCAAGCGACCAAAACGGTTTTATGTGTCTTTCGATGTATTTAGATTGTGGGGCCCGTGTCCACTACACGTTTGGAATTAGGGTTTTCCAGCTCCCCTTGGTAGATCAACCTGCATGTCAACCAGTCTGGTTGTAAGCGCCAAATGTTCGAATTCACCCCGTGCGCCGCATGAAAGTAGGGGAATAGTGCTTACTTGTCAGAGCGGGGACTATAAACGTGTGTGGCTACATGACAGCATTATTTTGAGAAGAAGACCACAGTCTACCCACACTCTGCCGCACTGGGTTGTTTAAAGGCGGCTATGAATACATGAATGTTGTTCTTTAGTTAAAAAAAATATATGTATATCGTATATATTCTTTATGATTCGATACTAATAATTTAAGTTAACATATATATCTGTTACTTTTCTTTCTAGGAGGCATTTCAATGGGTTATTAGCACAATGCAAGCTGTTCTACTAAGAACATTAAAACTGTCTACTTCTCCTGGTAAGAGTTAGCTACTTTCACATTTCTTTTTTCCTAAAGCTGTTTACCACAAACTAACTTTAATAGCTGAAGAAAGTCTTTTATAGGTTGATGATACTGCGAGATAAATTGGTTCTTCTTGATTGTTTGATGACATTATGTCAAGCTTTCATGTCACTAATTTTTTTCCCTTCACGTTCCCAGTGGAACATAAGGTCTCAAGCTAGTAGCTTGAAATTTCTGTAGCAGTGTTTAATTTTACAAGATGGGGTTGCTAGCCACCTCATGCCCAACCTTTCCGCTTTACCAGTCTCACTAATGGCTTAGTGAGGTAAAGGTGTGCGTCGGCCGGGGATCGAACCTCGGACCATGTGCATGGTCGGCAAGCGTCCTAACCGCTGTGCCACTGACGTACTCAAACATTATCAGGGCGAGGCGCATGCATATAGCACACAGCTTTCTTCAAACCGTGCACACAACCATTAGGTCGCGTACTATCCCATGTCACTTATAGATACAGAAAAAGACCAGTGCTCAACACGTAATATAATTTTCCTTACTCCACTTTAAACTGAGGCGTGAATCAGACACAGAAATTGATTTATGTGACAGGGGAAGTAACCGTCATAGTATAATCCCAGCTGCGTGGTATACTGCCGCACCGAAATTATGAGAACAACTACTTTATATCCTAGCTTGGAACTCCTCAAGTGCGATGTGTACTCCAAATATTCAGATTCTATGGTGGACACTTCACCATTCAGTTACTGGGGTTTGGAATCCAGTGATACACACATATTCCAACTTCTGTTAATTTTCTTTCGATATAGTATCACTACCATCCGATGTCACCAGTGAAAAAATGTCTACCGTTGCATGAGACTTGGTGACCCCTATCTGGGGTCACAGCCTTTTGTTTTCGATATTTGGAACTCTCAGTTGAAGCCTGGTCAGTAGTGTAGCGCAGTTTCGATCAGTAAGTTTTTCCGAATTGTTAGATGGAAACAGAACAATTCCAGGGGTGTATTATTGTTATTCAGTAGAACTTTTCGGTAAATACAAAACGGGATTGCTGGTGGATTAGTGGTGGGAATCAATGCCTGTTGATGTTATTTGCTTAACTTCATACGGACGAGATTTCCGACCGTATTAGGAGAGCTAGGGTGGTGTGCGTTAATTTCAGCCACCTCTGACATTGTTGCGACGTTAGCCTGAATGTCAAAGGTTGGGTTTACAATGCTTCGGTGCGCACTGTCTTACTCTACGCTAGTGAAACCTGACCTCTCCGAGCTGAGGATGTGCGGCAACTCTGTGTATTCGACCATCACCGTCTCCTTAGAGTTACTTGCTTTCGATAGCAGCGTCGTGTGAATAATCCTGAAGTCCGGTGTTGTGTGTTTGGACACAGTAGAGATCCCCAATCATCATTAAGTGTCGTCATCCGAAGACACCGTCTTCTGTGGTTTGGACATGCACTACGAATGTCACATCCCAGAGGCTTCCGTACCAGTCTCCTCTGTTCTGTAGCCCTGAGAAGGGATGGAAAAGGTGGAAAGGTGGTCAACACATGACATGACGTCACCGTGGGATAAGTGATATTTGTGGTAGATTACTGTCATCGGTTGGTGCATCACGACTCCTTGATTGGAGTCCGAGAGATAGCTCGAATTGGTGGCCTGAAAGGTTATCGGATATCGCCAAGAATCGCAATCATCAATGGCGAATGTGCTACTATTTCATCCTTTTCCCCTTTTTGACAGTAATTCGACGAATATTGTTCAGTATTATTAGATATAGCTGCCTTCTTCCCAGATAAAGTCCTTTTTCCATTCTCTACCTATTTTTTTCTCATATTTTCTCACATATGACTGAATTCTTTCAGTCAAGTTTCCAGTGTGGTCACTCTAAATCAATCTTAGATGGATGGCTGGAGGTGATCGGCAGATCTAGATTTGTCTGTGCTGCTTGATGACATTCATCAGTAAGGTGTATTTGTAGCTTTGAAGGAACTTATGTCCTGTTGAAGATACGATCCCTGGTCACCCATTGATGTGATTAGAGACGTTACCAATGAGGTAGTCGGGCGATGATTAGTCTCCAGTGCTGTAACATCACTGAATGCAGCACTGGATAGCATCAGTATGCTAGAGACTGCAGATTCACCTTTCTGACGAGTATCAAAATGTACAAAACCTAAGTGCACAAGGCTTCCTGCCGATTTTCTCTAACCATCTTGTACATACATACCTAACCAACGACAGTAAGCACCAGTCGTTATCAACGGGAGAAATTTTAAGGAAGTCACCTGTTTCACTTATCTCGGCAACGTCGTTTCATCTACAGATGTCATAGACGAGGATGTCAAGGGTAGCATTTCCAGAAGGTCATTGTAGACTTTTGTTTATGATTATCTTCGCTACACACTGGAGGTCAAATTGTCAGGAAGGATTAGCAACAAGGAACTCTGACAGAGATGACGAAACAACCACGAACCTATTCGCCAAAAAATATACAAAGAAGGAAATGGTGGTGGATTGAGCATAAACTGAGGAGACCATTCAGTAGTGACCCTTAATTGCCACCCGAATAAGAAACTATGAGTTGGGCTTTGGCCTGAGAGTGACATAGAGGAGATTGAGAGAGGAGGGGATGAGAGCTTATGGGCAATTGTTTAAAGCCAGACAATTGAAGGAGTGTAGAAAACACAGTGAAGTGGAGATGTGCTGTTGAAGCCCTATTTTCCACTCGGAACATAATGATAATAATCTCATATATTACAATTTATTTGAACTGAATGAACACCAATCATTGACTTGATTACAGGATTTCATTATGAGCTGATATCGGTTAGAGAAACATTAAAAAAACTGCAGGGAGTGCTGGACAGCTTTTTCATCAGCCTAGTTTGGTACTCTTCATCAGTACGCACCCACACCGCGGGGTTCGAACACAGGACCTTCCAGTTGCAAGTTGAGCTCGTAGACCATTAAGCCATTGGGATCCGATCCAGTGGCTAGCCCATGAATTCGAACTTCTGCCGATTCCCGACAGTGGCGAGTATTTGTCCTCACGCCCGACCAGCTGTGGCCAGTAGGGTGAAGCACTCAGGTTTTCCAATGGTTCTCTAACCGATGTTAGCTAATGATGAAATCCTGTAACCAACCAATCAAATCCGTATAGACCAATACTTGAAAATCACTGACTTCATAGATTCGCGCCAAGTTGTAATCCAATTATTATTCATTATATTCTTAATTCAACTGGAACAATATTTTGTGGTAGATCTATTCACTACATATACAAAATGCTTCTTGAACATAACAGTCAACGGAGGCCAGAGGCTTTGTTAATTTACCTAGTATCATTATTTTATTATTTCATTCCTTAGCGTTCCGAGTGCAACATAGGGTTTTAAGCTAGAGCTTAGAAGTTTCGATAGCGGTGGTTTTATTTTTACGGGATGTAGGGTCGCTAATCTTGTGCTCAACCTTCCCTCCCCCTTTACCAGGCTTACTACCGGCTTAGCGAGGTTTATAAGTGGATTGGCGTCCGAGGATCGAACCTCGGACCATATGCATGGTTGGTGAACATTCTACCGTTGAACCGTCGACGCAGCATTTACCAAGTATTCTACATTTGGTTACAGGATTTCATCATGAGCAGCTGACATCAGTTAGAGAACCATTGGAAAACCAGTTGGGAGTACTGGAAAGCTGTTTCGTCCTAATTAGGGACTCATTGTCAGTATACACTCACCGGGTTTCGCCGGTGACTGACTGGCTACAGGAAAAAGTTGCCTGGAATTCTAATGAGAAGTCGTGACCAGTAGGATTCACTCGCCGATGACATTGACTGGTGATCACGCTAAAACCACGAGCTGGAAGGAGCTAGAATTGGTGGGCCACTGGATTCTATCCCAATAACTGAATGGTCTATGAGTCCACCTCAAAACCTGAATGGTTGTGAGTTCGATCTCTGTTAGGTGGAGTCGTGGGTGTGTACTGATAAAGAGTCACAAGTACGGACGAAATGACTGTCCAGTACTCCCTCCTGGTTCTTAATGACTTTCCAACTGAGGCCAATTCGTGATCAATCTTGAAAAAAAAGCATTTTATGCCAAAACCTCCAGCATATATAAGTTAAAAACCTTTAATTCACTTATACCACAAGTAATAGAGTCATTCAATTGAATCTGTTTGTATAAATCCAGCTCCTGGAACTAGATCTTTCATATTCCAAGCAATGAGACGTACTTGTTGTGAGAAGACTGACAATTTTATCTAATTGTTCATGCTGTGAAATGAGTGGAACGGGATTCGAACCCTGAGACACAACCGCCAGGTAAAAGCCGAGTAACTAAGCCAATAAGAGATGCATCCTGGATAAACTGAATACTGTTGTTAAATGGTTGAAGTCAATCGGCAGGTAGCCTTCAACCTAAGTTTCATGCTTCTTGGTACTCACCACCAGTCGGTTAGGCGTTTAACTTCAATCTTAGAGAAATTCATGTACCTTCTGAGATTCGAATCCAAGTCAATCAGTGCTCTGCAGTCTGAACCAAATGAAGGACCAATCACTTGAAATTAGTTACTTACTACCTAGTGTGTCTAATCAAAGTATCCAATATAGTTCTACACGGGGTCAGTTGTGAGGCTGAATAGCTGCGTAGTGGTAACATCCCCCTGACTGCATCACTGAGTGACTTGGATTCGATTCTCAGGATTTCAGATATTCCTTGCTGACTGATGAATGCCAACGGGCATGAGACCTTGGTCGTAGGCTTTCCTCCAACCCCACCTAACAAGAATACAAGAGTTTACCGTCACCCCATGAAAAAAAGGTCACTTGTCTTTGATCATAGGTGTCTGAGTTCCATCTCCCTATGTTAGATGGTATAATAATAGGCTGAGGAGTAGCATTGGGGTCAGGTGTCGGTCGAGTGTTAGGTAGGAAGGGAAAATCAATCTATGAGGTTGTAAAGTTACATCGATTGAGGTGGTTACACTACATGTGTTACGCATGCCTAGCCATCGCCTTCTTGGACGACGGGCAATGTTAGTTCACGACATAAGACCAGGTTGGGAAAGAGTCAGTCAATGAAACCCATGACAGTTAGTGTGAATCAGTCGTGTAGGGAGTTGTAGACAAGCTCCCTAACTGGTTGAGGTCCTCGGGATGGTAAAAACCAACGACAGCTGGAGGCAATTAATTGGCGATATGGCTCAAACTCATCGTTGCCAATTGCTGACTCAGATGCCTTCACTCTTTGTAATTTGTCACATCCAATAAAACTCTATTGTTCTTCCATATTACTGTTCATTTTACCTCAATCACACTTCTGTTAATTATCTCTACTCTTTTCTCTTGCTTTATGGGCTACAAGAAGGGAATGTGACAACTGGAACTGCTGCACATCTGTAGAAAGTTCTAAGTTACAACTAGTCAATCAGTCAGTTTCACCATCACGATGAGTTATCTAGCATGTTGATCACATATTACAAACTCTTGACGGATAGAATTCAGTGTACACCAAACAAACTACCAGGCACATGGGATCAGTTACCACCTAGTGTCCAATCAAAGTCTGAATTGAAGATATATTTATATAATTTCCTTTAGTTCCTAGAGGAAGATAGGGTTTCTGTCGCACGTCTCAATTGTGTTCAGTTCTCAGCTAACGTTTTCCATCACCTGGCTCCACATCTGCTCCACATGCTTTCATCTACTCTTCACATGATCTCCTCCATGTCACCCTTGCACTGACGACCAACTCCGCCGCTTCTCGTTCGGGTTCCACTCGAGAGCCTGTCGTGTGATATCACTTGAGAGTTTTCTCAGAGTATGGTTAGCCAGCCAATCCACCTCTATTTCCTCCTGTAGACTTGTTGCACAAATTGTTCCTGCTGGGCTGGTTTGCTCCCAGAGATCCCTGTTGCTGATCTTTTCTGGCCAGCCATCTGATCCTGTGTATTGATCGAAGACAGACATTGGTGGAAGTCTGTAATTTGTTCGAAGTGCTCTTCATGAGGCACCAAGTCTCTGTCTGTCTGTATTCAACATAGAACTTTGCACCAATGTGCAGCAGTTTAAGTTGCCACACTCCCTCCATGTACCACACAAAGCAACAGAAGAAAGTAGAAGAAATGCATAATAGAGACAGTAAACAGAGGTGTGAGACAAAGGAATAGTAATAACGAAGAACAATAGAGTTTCATTGAAAATCATAAGTCACAAGGAGTGGATGCATCTGCGCCAGTCATGGAGAACGATTTTGAGCCATATCACCAATTGTTTCCAGCTGTCATTGATTTTTACCGTCCCGAGGACCTTAACCAGTCAGGAAGTCTAAACCTTCCTACGTGGCCACAACTAACTGTTGTGGATTCGATTGACTGGTTCCATGTTTTGGTTTGACCGCCGCTAGCTCTTTTCCAGCCTGACCCTATATCAGCTAACATTGCCCATTGTCGAGGAAGGCGATGATTAGGCATAACAAATGCGTAGCACATGTCCTAACCATCTCACTCGATGTAATTACACAGCCTCGTCGATTTATTTACCCTCCTTACCTAGAACTCGACCGAAGCCTAATCTCAATATTGCTCACTTTATTATACCACTTCACACGGGAGATAGAACACAGGCATCTATGATCGAAGACAGCTAGTCTTTTCATGTCTTCCACTCTCAATGGCCAGGTCTCACAGCTAACCATAAAGGAGGACGGAGCAGACTGATGAGCAGTACACCCGCCATTTGGTTGATAGCTGGATATCACGTCTACCAAGCCAGAGACGGTGTAAACTGGCAAATGTAAATCTAGCCCTCTGTATCCGTACTCAGCTGAGATTTCGTCAGAGATCAACTCGTTGGTATTGGCTGATGGTACTTCCCAAATAAGTGAAGCGGTCAACGTGCCCTACCACTTCACCCCTTATTTCTAGACTAGGAGTTAGCGTGGTGTAGTCCTGTAACATCATCTTACATTTGACAGCAGGAGCGAATCGCTCGCCTGCCAAACATTCGTAGATTTCAGCTCCTCAAGGCGTTCAGAAGACTGTGCTGGATTTTGTCAGCGTCCTCGCCTAGAAGAGAGGACGAGATTATTTCCTGGTAGCAAGTCAATCGCTGGGTCTCTGAAGTGAGTTAGGGTTAAGTCCATTAGTACATCTATGATGAAGTTGATCCACAAAGTAGAATATATATATATATATATATATTTATATATATATAAAGTTCTTTTAATATTGATTTTATCTGCTCTATCCCTTTCTTCACATCTCTATTTTTTCTTTTCTCGTTTTTAGAAATGCTAAATATGCCTAAAACTGCTCGACATGAACTAAAATTAGTCCAGAGTATCGATGATATACGTAATCCGGTGTTAGGAGATTATGTTGAAGAGATATGAATCAGCCAATGGGAATAAAGCACAGTAGAAATCTTATTCTCGGTGAATAACTTAAGGACAAATTACAACGTAGTAGTGGTTACAGTTTCAATATATATTACATAATATATACATATTTATTTTTTCAATTTACTGACTGTTTCCAAATGAGTTCGTTTCTTATCAAATAACAGGATATATATGTTTGCATTCCTGTGGACAGAGAGAGAGAAAGAGACTGTGGATAGGTCTGTGTGTGTGTGTGTGTGTAAATACTGTTTCTGTGACTTAATATATAATTCTTTGACATAATGTAATCCAAACTTATAAATACATATATTATTTTTCTCTTGAGTTCATTCCTTATTCTATTCATACCATTATTTATCGATTTAAATTATTTGAAATAATAGCATTCACCTCTGCAAGCTTGACAGAATACCATAGAGACTCACTAAGTCCCTTCATTAATTAACAACTCATAAGGAAAACCGGATTTTCAACTCCAATGTCAAGTCAGTCAGTGCTATACTTACTATACGGATCAGAGACTTGGCTAGCGCGTCATAAAGAGCACCTCAAACAAACTGCGGACCTATATCAACAGCTAGCTGTCTTCGCTCAAGATCAGCAAAAGGGATCTCTGGTAGCGAACCAACCCAGCAGGAACCGATTATGCAACAAATATGCAGGAAGAAATGGAGGTGAATTGGCTGGCCATACTCTGAGGAAGCCACCAAGTGACATCACTAGACAAGCCATTGCTCGAGTGGAACCCGAAAGGGAAGTGGCGAGTTAGTTGTCAGTGCGAGGGTGGCTTGAAAGAGGTCATGTGAAGAGGAGATGGAAGCTTGTGGGTAGACTTGGAGCCAGGTGAAAACGTTGGCAGCGAACCGAACGCAATGGAGACGTGCAGCTGAAGTCCTATGTTCCTCTAGGAATTAAAGGAAATAATAATAATGATATAAGGAAAACCACAGATTTTTTTGTTCAGCGAAGAAATATCTCTTGTTCTTTATAGAGTGAGTGCAGGAGATTTCTAGACTGACTTCAGAATAATGAAGGTGTTTGTCTTGCTTTTCTGCTTCTGACTGGCTTTCACATTCTCATCCATTTTGTGTGCTTGTAGTTGAGACGATTCCACTGAGATAGTTTCAAAAGATCAGACTGCCTAAAATTTCTCCAGTTGTTGGTGATCATTGGTGCTTGTTGTTTGTTGGACATCTTCATCACTGCTGTCTTCTCTTTGTTCACTTGAAGTGGTGTCTTCGTTCCATATTAGTTGGTTTATTACATAAATCACACAATGAAACAGTATTATTTACTGGATGACACAGTTTCGAACAAAATTTATTACTGTTCGTAATCATATCATCAATTGTAATCACACGACTTCGAAACTTGAGTTTTATAGTTTTACTTGTCTTCTCCTATTTGCCATAGGGATAGTAGAATTTTCTAGATATCTGAGTCAGGTGATGAATCATTTCTACTACATGTATTTTCAGTTGATTCGATAAACAAAGCTTCTGTTATCAATCTCTCCCTCCATCCCGTGACATCAGATTTTAAACTTTCGTCTTACCCCATCCATCCTACTGTATGGTTGTGTGTAATTGCATGTAGTGAGTGCTATAGCTGAAGTATTCTCTAGATTTCTTATCTTATTGGGGTCAATCAATCTAAGTTTTAATGTTCCGCTAGTCTGACTAACTGCACCTGTTCTACTACTTTGACCTATGTATTTGACCTGACAATTATTCCAGCAGGATATTAGGTAAACTAAATTGTTTTGTTTTAAAGGCTCCACAGGATCCAGCGTTTAACAGGCAAAGCTTGTTTCTAATTGAGTTTGAGGGTGGCTTGAATGGTAGCCACTTTCTATTCCTGCCTTGTTAAGAATTTTGCGTAAGATTTCCGAGGTTCCTTCTTCGTATGGAAGTGAAACTGGTGATTAAGATTCCTTATTGATATCCTGTGCATGTTTGACATGCATGTCGTCATAAATATTACATTTCCCTACATACTTTCTGGTAAATTTATCAGGGGAATTATTAAGTTTCAAGGCTTCTCTTATATGTATCACTTCCTGTCTTAGATTTTCCTTGGCACTACTTAGTTTTTGTGCTCTGTCACTTAAACATTTCACCAATCCTATTTTTACTGACATAGGATGGGATGATCGGAAGTCCAAATATCTGTTTGAATGTGCCAGTGGGCTTGCTGTAAACACTAGTGTGTGTTTAACTTCCCATCTTCTTTTCTTTTTACGCTGCAATCTAGCATTGGAAGTTCCCCCTCATTCCTGACTTTCCAATTCATAAGTGGATTGAATTACCTCCACCTGTGTTTTAAGCACAGTGAAATGTGTCATCTACACACCTCCACCATACTTCGATATGGGGTGAGGGTGAACGTCTCAATCCTTATGTTTTCCCACCTATCCATGAATATATATCTGCTACAACCGGGGATATTGGTGATCCCATTGCAACGCCCTCAGTCAGTTTGTTTGTATATTTTCCCTTTGAATCACCAATGCATATTTAAAGTCGTGAAATATACCCATTGGTTCATAAAGAAAAACACAGTTTTTTGTTCAGCAACTTCATTCTCAAGACGTACAGTTGTATTTATTATATTATGGAAAAAGAAGGCATTAAGTGACACTAGAGATGGCTCATTCAATATTGCACATAGGATGATAAGAATAAAGATAATTACAATGATGTACTGAAGGGGATCGCGGTAGAGTTGAAAGGGGGGGATGAATTACAAAACTTTTAGGGATTATTATATAAGTGGACTGGTATAAAGATTTTGAAAAATTTTAGGTCACGGAAAAGATGAAGCGAATTGTGGAATGAATTCAAGTGGTAAAATAGAATAAAATAAAAGAACATTACAATGACCGTGGTGAAGAAAGGGGTTTGACAAGGACATTTTTGAATACAAAATTTGGGTTTTTGCCGATGTATAGCTGGAGATTCGGCTGTGCATAAGTGGAGAAAACGTAAGCTTTTGGAGTGGTTGGATTTGGTCCTGTTTTTTTCCTTCACTTTCCCAGGCAAGCATAGTTTCAATTACAGGCGGACGGAACTGACGAGGATATCGAAGTGAGGATCGGAAAAGCAAGTCAAGCTTTCACTACTCTCAAAACTGTGTGGAGATCAACAATCAGCACTCAGCATAAAAAGGAAAATAAGATCCACATTTTCAACTCCAGTGTGAAGTCACTGCTACTACTTACTATACGGATCAGAGACTTATAACTGCGCCGTGTCACGAAGGGCACTTCGAACAAACTACACAGCTTCATCAACAGCTACCTCTTCTCGCCCAGTACTACTCAAGATCAGGTGGCCGGCCAGAAAAGATCATCAACAGGGATCTCTGGCAATGAACGAACCAACCCAACAGGAACCAACTGAACAACAAATATGTAGGAGAAGATGGAATGGATTGACCATACTCTGATAAAACCAACCATCAAGTGAGTGACTTCACAAGCCAGATGATTGCTCGAGTGGAACCCGGAAAGGAAGCGGCGAGTTTTTTTTGATTTACAGCTTGATTCCACACTGTATTTTTGGTACAAGTATGGAATTTTCAGCATGGATATCGGTAGCCCAAATTTTGCAGGCCGACCATAGATATCAGGTTTGCGCCGGCGTGGGCTCGAACCCCGGACCATGTGCATGGTCGGCGAGAGTCCTAACCACTGTGCCACCGACGTCTGTGCGAGGGTGACAACATAGAGGAGAAGGTGATGCGAAGAGGAGATGAAAGCATGCGTGCAGACGTGGAGCCAAGTGAAAATGTTGTTGGAGAACCGAAGGCAATGGAGGCGTGCGGCTGAATCCCTATGTTCTTCTAGAAACTAAAGGAAACAATAACAATGATAATTGCTGATCAACGGAAACAATATGGAATGACAAGATTTTTTTCCTTCACGTTGCCAGTGGAACATATAGCTTCAAGTTAGTTGCTTGAAGTTTCTGTAGCAGTGGTGATTATTTTTACAGTACGGAGTTGCTAGCCTCATGCCCAAACTTTCCTCTTTACCAGCATTATTTCTGGCTTAGCAAGGTAAAGGAGTACCTCGTCGGCCGGGGATCGAACCCCGAACCATATGCGTAGTCTGCAAGCATCCTAACCGCTGTGCCACCGATGCGTGATCGGTCCTATCGATGACTTTAAGTGATAAATCACATGGGGTTGAATGACCAGACTCTAGAAGGTGTACATAAATTAAAGACTTTGTCGTCTTTTTCTCATTTTTCATTAACGAAACCGGGTAGTGTTCAGCCACGCGTTTACAGATATTACGCTTACAACGTCCCCATTGTAATCAGTTTCACAGGAGCATATGAATGAGTTTATGCACATAGAGGTGGGCAGAAGCGGTAGTTTATCCTTGATACACAGTCGAATCATATTACGGCTAGTAAATACTAAATGTATAAGTCAGTTGCATAAAAAACAGCGTTTAATACATTTAGATAAACGACTTTTCATTACTTCAGAAAATACTGTCACCTTTGAAAGCCAAACATTCATAAACAGTGTCTTCTTTGACACTGTGATTTGTCTGGGGAGGGTTTCTTTACTTGATATTTCTGTTAATAAACCTTCTAGGATATCCATTATCTGAGAGGGTTATGCGAAGGTTTTCTAGCTCCATGTCGACCATATCTGTGAAGCGAATTTCTGGAGCATAGAGAATGGATAAAATTTCTCTTCCTCCCTACAGGTACCTAACTGGTGAAGCTTGGCAGTTGAGCTAATTGTCCTTACAGTCTGTCTGTCTGTCTGGATTCAACATAGAACTTGGCACCGAAGTGCACCACTTCGAGTTGCCACGTTCCAAATACCACACAGAGGTAGACAAGAAGATGAGTGAAGAGAATCAATAGAGTTTGACAAGTATAAGAGTGAAACAGAATGGGTAATGGTAGAAAGGAATATGAAAGATTACAGAGACTGAATAGATCTGCGCCATTGACAACAATTTTGAGCCATGTCACCTATTGTCTCCAGCCATTGATTCCTAGAGTCCCGAGAGCCCCAACCCGGGAGTCTGCATCTCCCTACCTGACTCAGTTTAACTGTCAAGGATTTCATGGATTGATGCCATGTTTTTGTTTGGCCACCACTGGCTCTTTTCCAACCTGAACCTATATCAGCTAGCAATGCCCGTCGGGGGAGGCGGTGGTTAGGCAAGCGCAGCACGTGACCTAGCCATCTCAATCTATGTAACTTTATAGCCTCGTCGATTGATTCTCCCTCTTTGCCCAACACTCTGCGCCTAACGTCAACATTACTTACTTGTTAAACCACCTAACGTGAGACAG